GAGCTGGCTGTGTTGGTTGGCGTGCTCGTTAGCGAGTTCCTGTGCAGTCGAATGGGGGCGAGGGGAGCGAGGGGAGCAAGGGGAGCGAAGGGGCACGAAACGGACGGCTTCTCGAAACTGAACCCCCCCCCCCCCCCCCCAAGTTGAGAGTGTTGGTGGAACTCCCGCGCTCGCTTGTATGTGATAAAGATAAAGAATAAAAAAAGGACGTACCCCGAGTAGAAGCGGCACATGGGGTGATACCCCTCCTCCCCGCCGTGAAAGACCTTTCTCTCCTCCTGCTCTTTTATCGCTGCGCGCGCCGCGTCGGCGTCCATGCCCTCGGGAAACCCCCATACCTCGGGCGGGATGACTTCGAAACTGACGTTGGCGGACGTGGACCCCCGTATGGTGTCGATGAATTCTTGCTCCCACTCTTCGTCGTTGAAGAAGATGATGGGATACGTGAACCACCGATTGAAGTGCTGCTCGAGGGATATGATGGTGTGCTGCGCCTGCTCGCGCTCCGAGTTCCGCGCCATCATCACGAACACGGCATTTTCGCGCGGGGCGGACAGGTCGGGCTCGCGGCAAGAGGTTGCGAAGGGGGGATCGAGGGGAGTCGATGGACGGTGGACGGAAAAGGAACGACGGTGAAGATAGGATTCCGTAATGGCGAGGAGGAACACGAGGAGTATGAATCGGAGTGGGAGTCGGCGGAGGAGGCGCTGCGCGTGGAGGCTGTAAGTCCTGAAGACGGCCACAGTCCGAGGCCATGGGCCGGGCGACCACTTTTCCGGGAAACTACGTAGAAGCATTGTCAACAAAAGCATACAAGATACAAGGCGCCGTGACAATCACTCGATACTCGATGGCCAGTGTCAGAGAGCGTTGGGGTGAGCAGAGGGAAGAGATCTCCTGTAGGAACAGCCGCAGTCGACTGTCAGGTAGGAGGTCGTGATACATCTGAATTCTGGCCTTCCGCAACCCTTACATGCGCACTCTCGTAGCCCCGGTCCCTAGCCAGCCCGCCTCATCCAATAGCTGTATATGTGCCTCCTGATATAACGCGCCCCTGGCTTGAACTAGGAGGCTGTGACGGTAACGCGATGGACGTTCCTTTCGGGGTGACATTCTCGGTGGACATCAACCCTTAGAACCTTTCGTGGCAAACGTTAATTCTGGTAAGACCGCGCACTACGCATAATGAGTTTGATGAACACAATGACACGTACTCGGAGACTGAGAGCAGAAAACTCGGTTCTCTCCTCTGCAGTTATCCGAAACCATAGTCCAGGTTGGTGAGTTGGCTGCATAGAGCAAAAGACATTATACGACGTTGAAAAAGACATGGAATTGGGCGCTTCCAGCAAATCAGACCTTCTACCGGCAAGGTCCGCGCGCACACCCGCTGCATTATTGAGGCTATGATGATTAGTAATAACTAAAAAGATGGAATATATGGAATGGTTGTCGATTTAACAAGGTAGTAGATAGGGTAAAGGTGAGCAATAATGCGACGATAGGTCCAGCCATTCGATGAATGCAACTTACCATATTCCTCACAGGGATTGTCTATTGTTGACCCGATGTGACATGGCGAAGATTGTCAGCCAATAACTCTCACCAGATCTACGACGGAGCTTCTACCGGCAACACACGAAAGTGATCCTGCGATATAGTGAGTGACAACATGACGTACAGGTGAGAGTCATGCCTAGTTGCCGCATAGCAAACCCCAGATGCAGTTATATTCTCACAGCACGATGGACTGTCGCCAAGCTGGGTATTTGGCTGCCTGGCTCCTTCTGTTCCATTTTCTCCGAAACTGTTGCCTGGAGAAGCTTGAATGCCAGTTGTTATCCACAATAGTTGAGACCAAGCGGGAGGTTCTAGGATCTGATGGAGAATTGGGTCTACCAGAACCATTTTGCATCGGCAACAAAGACCAGCGTGTAAGTCAAAGAGTGTACATGGAATACTTTTGAGATCGGCATATGGTGTAATCTATGAGCGCACTAATCGTTCGAGATTGAAACAACCCAAGTCTGGGAAATTCTGGGAAGATAATACGTAAAAATGGCTTTGCAAGAGAGGTTGAGTGCGAAAAGCAATATGAGAGGCTTGCATTGATAGATTGCAGTAATGTTTGGCTGCTCTTGCTAGGGTTGAGATGCGCAAGGCAGAAGCTAAGATGAGTGTTTTTGCCAGAGAATTCATGTGGCTAAATGACACAAGTAAGCTTTTTTAAGATATACGGGTTTATTGCCTACATCAACATCATTGTTTGTCGATACAAATACCTACCTAGTACTTGCAACAGCTGAGGGAACGAATGCAATGTTGTCATTGACGTTTGCAGTGGGGGGATCTGCTCCCAGACAATTGGGCCGTGCTTGCACTCTTCATTACATAATCGAAGAATCAGTCACGTGCCGTGGCTGGTGTCACCTAGAGAGTTATCCCAACCAATTAGAAGCTGCCCCTGGATCCCCCAGCCCCGTCATTTTGGCATGTCCCGGGATGGTTCGTTGATGAAGCGACCGACTCTTGCTCACCCCCCCAACGCCCCTCCTCTCCTGCTCATTCTTTCCTGGCTATCCCTCCAACACCCTAGCATCGCGCGACGACTCACTTGCTCAACATCACCATCGCTTTCGTCGCAACATCACTACGCGCCACAGGCGGAAAATACTGGCTGCGAAGAGACTGTGCGCACCTATTGTTACGCGCCTCGAACAAGACTTGTCTTCGATAGACCGATTCCACCCGAAGAAGACGCGCGCGCCATTAGTCTCCAAACCTCCACAATAACGCGCTTCACTGTTTACACCTTCCGCCACCCACGACTCGGCACATCGCGTCCTCCTCACCCGCATCGACTTCAACCCATCGACGTCCACCCTGGGCGCGTCTGACTTTTCTTGCACGTATACTCAGCTGCATTGCTTGCTTTGCATCTGGCTTGCGTCGCTTCCCATAGTTTCATCCTCGCCGCTCAAGGCCCCATCAGACGCTCGCTGCCGCCATGTTCTACTCAGAAGCTTTGCTGCAGAAGAGCGGCCCGCTCGCTCGAGTATGGCTGTCGGCCAATCTTGAGAAGCGCCTCTCCAAGACACACATCCTTCAGTCCAACCTCCAGGACAGTGTTGAGGCCATCATCATGCCGTCGCAGGCACCCATGGCTCTACGCCTCAGTGGTCAGCTTTTGCTTGGTGTCGTCAGGATCTACAGCCGGAAAGCCCGGTACCTCCTCGACGACTGCAATGAAGCTTCTATGAAGATTAAAATGGTATGTAGTCAGAATCGCGTTTTGGACGCGTCACGTTGACTAACTCGCGCAGGCATTCCGCTCCAGTGACAACCACGACATTCCAGAGGGCACCTTGCACATCACCAACCGCGAAGCGCTGATGCTTCCCGATAAGATCACGCCTCACGACAACCTCGAGCTGCCCCCTGCACCTGACGCCACCTGGCTGCTCTCGCAACTCGGCGACGATGTTATAGCGCAGCCCATGGGCCGCAAAGGACGCGCCAGCAACCGCGATATCAACTTGCAGGAGGATTTCAACAACAGCCAATTCCTCCAGGACTCCACGCCAATGGACATCGACCTGGTCATGGGCGATGGCGACATGATTGAGCTGGACCTTGACTTTGGCGATGGGGACGACGACCTTACCAGGATAGAGAAGAGCATTGAAATGGGTCGTGACGCGCCAGATGCGCGACCAGCAGAGGACGACGTGTTCAGCGAACTGGATGTGACAGCCCGTCAGAAGGACCTACCGGGCCGCGAGGAGTCGCTGGCCCTTGACTTCGGTGATGGAGAGCCACGTATTGCCGACAATGACGGTGACATAACCATGGGCATGGATGATGCCGACTTCCACTTCAACGACGTCGATCACTCCGAGCTTCCCGCTCCTTTAGCTCAACCGGACATCAACCGTGCGCGCATCTCTGAGTCGCCCCTCTCCGACATTGACGAGGACATCACTGCGAGACTGAACGAGGAAGTCTCTCAATGGCAGAACGCGGACCTCTACGAGCCAACCGAAGAACAAGATCAGTCTCTGGTGCGTCACACGCAAAGGGCGAGGAAGAGAAAGGTGCTGGTTCCAGACGACCAGACCATGCTTTCCAGCAATGCTATCAAGGAACAGCAGGCGAATCGCGACAACATCCTGAAGCCCCAGTCCTTCTTGCCAAGGGATCCCTTCGTTCTGGCCCTGGTTGACATGCAGAAGAGCGGTGGGTTCGTCTCCAACATCTTGCTCGACGGTCGTAGTGCGGCCTGGGCTCCTGAACTGCGAGGCCTGCTGTCTTTCGGACCTGGACGCGCGCCAGAGCTCAAGAGGAAACGCGACAGCGGGATTGCTGATATGGAGAGCGACAATGACAACGCTGCATCCAAGTCTCCGCGCCTAGAAATCGGCGAGGACGACGATTTTGCTGTTGGCGATGCTGGTCTCAACAGATCTAGCATCGTGGCCGATGACGGCACGGTCCTCGAGATTGCTGCCGATGACGACGACATGGGCCTCCAGATGGGTGATGATGATGGCCAGACCGGCGAGATTGAGGGTAACACGATACCCGCTTTCGACGACACTGTCGCCCCCATCGTCCACCCTCAGGACAGCGGGCCTGTGTCGCTCGGCACCAAGCATGCCGTACACATTCTTCGCGACCTCTTCGGCGCCGACGCTGAGAACGACGACGAGAAGCGCAGCAAGACGTCCGTTGTCTTCCAGGATCTCCTCCCCGAGAAGCGCACCACCAAAGCCGACGCGACCAAGATGTTCTTCGAGTGCCTCGTGCTCGCAACGAAGGATGCCATCAAGGTCGAGCAGGGCGACGCCCTCGGCGCTCCCATTCGTGTCCGCGGCAAGCGTGGCCTCTGGGGCGCGTGGGCTGAGCGCGAGGCTGGTGGCGAAATCGCCGAGGAGGAGCAAGTTGCCGACGAGGCTGAGCAGCGTGAGCCATCACCAGCCGCCGTCAGCGCACAGGCCGTTGCCGTTGGTGCGTGAACGAGCAAGGCGAGTGCTGGCTGGCTGGCCTGGGAGTAATGTGCATCATGACGGACGCGCGAAAAGATGACGACCCTTTTTTTATTTCTTTGGCGCGCGGATCCTCATCATGCCTGGACTTGTATTACTACTCGGACCGTTTTGACTCGGCTCAGGCTCTGAGGCCTGGACGATGCGGCGTTGGGGGCGTTATTCCCGTCGAGAGGGGACTTTTTCGATACCACGGCACGGGACGACTGATTGATTGCGAAGGATGTCAAGAGGATGGCTGTCAGGCGAACGTGGTGAGTTGGGTAAGAGATGAAAAGCATGGCCTGCAGGTGGGAAACTGTTCGAGCGGCATCGTTTCTTTGTGCTGTCTGAGCGAGGCTGTTGGATAGGGTTTGTTGGATTTAGTGAAGGCATGCATGGTAGGACGCTTCTTGTAGCCGTGTGGTTAATACAGCATGTTAGCTTAACGCTATGGATCGTGTTGTGATGTTGCAATCTGAGGTCGTGCTGCTCGGTGTTGAGCGAGATCAATAGAGTCTCTGAGAGCTGCATCGGCGGGTTGCTAGCTGAGACAACGACAACACATGGCTTCAATATGCTCTTGGTGGTTCTCACCCGTCAAGCTGCATTGCGGCTTTGTTGACTCGTAGATTAGTGTCATGAAAAGACTTACGCCGGAGAGCTGGTTCGTCTCAGCCTGTGTCTATTCAGAGGAACTTCAGGCATTGGCATCCGTAGAACGTACGGCTGTGTCTACTTGGCATGCTTCCAACCTGATCGACAAGCACGGTGTTTATCAATCGCAAACACGACGACTCCACGAGCCAGTAGTCAGCCAAGAAAGACCCTTGGAAACCTGACATCATCCGCTGTGGGTTGAGTAGACGCGCCCCTCCACAGCTGGAGCATCTTCGCATCAGCCTGTTTCTGGCTTGCCTCGTCATTCTTCCCAGCAATACCCTGCATCCAGATCTGCCCTGTTCATCCAAACAAGAAGCACAAAAAGCATCTCTTCCCGGCACTATTGTTCTTTCTCGTTTGCTCTTTGTCCCCTTCTGTTCTAGAGAAGCAAACTCCACCTTTGGTTCCTGCATTAGACTCAAACGCCATTTTCCGCCCGCCCGCCAAACCGCTGATCGCGCATCGCTCCGTTGACAACCCCGCATCCACACTTTTGACTTCCACCTAGCACTCGTTCCTCCTGCTTCCCGCACCCCTCTAGAAGGAAAAAAAAAGCACCACACAACCCGGCGCAGACAGACAGTCCCTGCAACGATGCCCGCCCCTTCGCAGCTCGCCATTGCCACGCAGGCCGTCACCCGCCTCCTGCGCGAGGAGATCTCGTATGAGCAGGAGCTCATCCAGCAGCAGGGCAAGGTCACGAGGCTCGAGGCCGAGGTGCAGTCTGGTCTGCCAGACGAGGATGGCAACCGCGCGCACATGCTGAAGCAGCTGGTAAGCTCCCCCCCCTACATGACCTGCAACGAGCACCAGGTCGCGCCTCCTGGAAAGGATCAGCTTGAGAGCAAAAGAGTCGTCGCTGCTTGCCCCTGGTTGGTGGGGACGCCGGTGGGATTGGATTCACGGCTGACGTTTATGTAGAAGCAGGCTGTTGTCGAGACGGAGAACGTGTTCCCCCGCATCAAGGAGCGCATCGGCGACGCGACGACCAAGCTTGAGGAGCAGATTGCGTTGGCGGAGAGCAACGGCACGCCTGCTGAGGAGTTGGAGCTTGCGAGGGTGGCGTTGACCAAGGGCCAGGAGGCGCAGAACACGGTCCGCAACGGCATTGCTTAAATAATGGGGGGATGAAAGCGTGGAAACTTATATTCAGAACATGCATCATGGAACGAGGCAGTCTTTCTACGTGATGGCAAGGAGACGCCGGAAACACCAAGTCTCGTGGCAAAGTCAAGTAAAGTCGATTTCGACATGTCCTAGCTGTCGACCTCCATGCTGTCGCCGCCTGGCGCAGCCACCGTGATCTGAGGCGTGTCAGCGCCCGAATTATGGGCATTTGTCTGCCGCGAGTCATCCATCTCGACGTCCTCGCCTTCCTCAATATCATCGTCGCCGTCGTCATCTGCCTGGTGGCGTGGCGTGCCCGCCTGGCTAGGCGCCAGGCTGCCGCCACGCGACAGACTCCCGAGCGCCTCCGGCCGCGGCTTCAGCCCATGTCCCTCCTCCGCTTGGCTCTCCGGCGCCGGCGTCCTGCCACCGCTCGTGCCGTTCGGTCTCGGCGTGCCAGCATCACCCTCTGGCCTCGGCGTCGTGCCACGACTGCCTCCCGCCCGCGACACCTCGCCGTCCTCCTCGCCGTCCTCGTTCATGCCCTCCCTGCGCTCGACCTCCTCCTTCTCGTCGCGAATCTGTCGCCGCAGCCGCATGGCCTCGTCCATGATCCTGGCAAACTGCTCCTTGCGCTCGGCCCACGTGTCGTTGTACGTGTCGCTCTCGCGCTCGAGCCCGGCGCACTCCTCCTCGAGCTTCCGCAGCGCGACGCGCTGGTCGTCGCGCGGCCGCAGCATGCTCTTGTTGGTAATGTCGTCGGCGAGGCGGTCAAACTCCTTGCGCTGGCGCAGCGTGGCGCGCGCGACGTCGAGGCGCGCGCGCAGGGCGGCGTTGTTGTCGCGGACGGCCTGGCACTCGTCGAGGATGCGCTGCTGGTCGGCGGCGTAGCGGGCGCGCTCGCGCTCGTTGGCGTCGAGGAGGAACTGCAGGCGCGCGATGCTGCTGTCGTAGGCGGCGAAGTCGAGGGCCAGGTCTTCCCGGAGCAGGGCGCGCTCGCGGTGCAGGGCCCCCGGGTCGACGGACGCAGGGGCAGCCATGGCGTCGGCATCGGCAGCGTCGGGGGGCGGCGTGGGTTGCTGGGCGGCCTTGGTGGCGATGATGGTGGAGATGGCTGCGAGGCGCTTGGTGATGCGCTTGAGGGGCTTCTCCTCGATGTTCAGCAGGCGGGATTTGTGTAGTTCGTTTTCCTCGGCGTCGTTGAGGAGCTCCCAGGACGACATGGCGGCGGTGGGAGGGAAGCGGTGTGCGTCTGGGCTGGCCGTGTTTGCTGGGTGCGGTTTGTTGCGAGGTTATGGGAGCGGTCGGGTAGGCACAAAATTGGGGCCTGGGGTTTCGAGAGAAGAAAAGGCCCAGATCGGGTTTCACGAGAGATAGACGGCCTAGATTTGCCGCAGTCGTTGAAGGAGCGGACCAGCAAGGGAAAGAGACCGATGATGTGAGGTCGTAGTGCGGATCGAGGGTAAAGCAGCAGGGACAAAAGACAGCTTCCTGCACAGCAGCCATTGTTAGCCTTGCAGATGTGCTGCTTGTTGATTGGGCCAAGGATCAGCGTGGTTGGAAGGAAAGTGGATCCGACTCCCAGCCCACTTCGCGTCGGCTTTGAAGTCGCCTCCGTCACTTGTACTTGGGCTTTCACCCCTCCTCTGTCAACCCAACGCTGCAACTTTCCCTCAACACAAACAACTCTCGAAACCCTGACCTCGACAATATTGGGACCGCATTTCTTGCTGCGAAAGACCATCGAAATCATAGCGAACCAAACCCAGCAGGCGTCGCAACTCTCGTCCTCCTCGAGCCCCGAATCGCTTTATCCCAACAGCTAGCGTCTCAACATGTCTTCAGAAGAGCAGGAACTTCTAGCCAAGATCAGCAGACTGGCTGGTCAGTTTACCCATTCATAGACTTTTGATTATCTAAACCATCTCACCAATATAATAGGCAAGATCAACCGCCACAAGAGCCAGCAGTCCGGCGCGCAGTCCCCGACAGCCCATCAACCAGCTCACAGTTCGCGTTTGTCATCCACGCACCGGCTTCGATCCTTCTCTCTAACCACACCAGACAACACCTATCGATCGAGCAGCCATCACTATCATCCCTACCGCGGCGGCCGATATGGCCCTGCCCACCGAAATCGAACACTGAACAGCGGCAGTCATACGCCGACGGCAGAGGCACAACAGGCATCCAACGCCGTCATTTCCAACGCTTCAGGCTCGTGGGTCGCGACAACAAATCGCCACAACATGCAGCTTATCAACTCGAATGTGTTTGAGGAAAAGACCCAGAAGCGCACAGAGGCCATCGAGGCCACCCGAAAACAGCATCTCGCGTCCCAGAACGCACGCGAGGCCTCTCCGCTGACGTCTCACCTCCACCAGCGCCAAGGGCCCCGTGTCGCGGCTGGTTTCGCTCGTGCTAACCCACAGCCTAACCTCACCAACGCAGGTCAAGACCACGTCATCGATATTCAAGGCATCAGCTTCCGCGTTATTTGCAACGGCAGCAAGCTCGTCAAAGTGGCCGGCACGTCGTCTCGCACCTCACCTCCCCACCTCGGACCTACCTGCTCACATCTACCAGGCGACCTCCATTCGGCCAGCGCCACACCCAAGGTTGCCGTTGTCGGCGGCGTTCAGTTCCGTCGCAGCAAGAATGGCAACCTCTATCGGCAGGGCGTGATCAAACTCCATCCGTATGTGTGCCCCCCTCGTACTGCATATATGCTAACACATGACAGACATGCGGGCGTGAAAAAGGTCAACGTGCCTTGCCGCATGTTTTCGTCGACTGGTATTTTTAGACTTCTCCTCGGCGCCGCACGACATCAGGCGCGCGCGCGCGCCCAGCCCCTTTCAAGATGGAGTGCTTCCGCATGGAGGAGGGAACGCTACTAACCGAACGACTCTAGGTTCCTGCCCCAAGGGCCCGAACTGTCGCTACATCCACAACGCGTCCAAGGTGGCGGTGTGCCGCGACTTTCTCCAGAAGGGAAAGTGCGCCAACGGCGAGGATTGCGACCTGTCTCATGATCTGTGCCCGCAGCGCACGCCGACGTGCCTGCACTTCATCAAGGGCAACTGTGCGAACCATGAGTGTCCGTATGCTCACAATAACGTGTCTCCAGGTGCGCTGGTATGCCGGCCGTTTGGCCTCTACGGCTTCTGCGAGGCAGGACAAGAGTGCACCGAGAGGCACGTGTCCGAATGTCCCGACTTTAGCAACACGGGGGTGTGCAAGACCAAGGGCTGCAAGCTGCTGCACCGCGAGAGGGCAAGCGTCCTGCGGAAGGCGGGCGAGCAGCAGGAAGAAGACGCCGACATGTCGAGCGACGACGACGTGGCCGACAGCGACGATGTCGACTCGGACGAGGTCGACGAGTTTCTCGGTGGCGACGGCGAGGTCGATGACGCGGAGGTCAAGGCGCAGAGCGACTTTATCTCCTTTTGATTGTGATGCTCGCTTGCACCCCTTGATGCGTTGCTGCTGCTGCTGCTGCTGCTGCTGCTGCGATCGACACGGCGTGTGTCGGCGGCGTGGATTGGTTAGGATACCTACCTACCTTAGGATAAGATGATGGTGACGACATGAAGATACCCTGAACACGGACGATGAAGAGCAAAAAAGTGGGCGACAAGAAAAAGAAAAATTGCGAAGACGATGAAGAGTCAATACGCATGATAATTACTATTGTTTATGGGAGATGTGAGATGTGATGTGCCTCTTTGATTTGATCCCTTTACCCAAGCTACCATCAGTAATAAGTACCTCTCTTACATGAAGTTCTCAGGTACCTTAGGTACTTACCTAGGCAGGTACAGTAGGTAGGTGGGCAGGTACCTAGGCAGCTGGGTAGGCAAGGGAGGTACCGTAGCCCACCTCCAAAGGCTGACGATGTACTACCCAAGCACCATGCGACATGACCTAGCATCGACAGAGCGGGGATATCCCTCAAGGCACCACTTGTTTCCAGATTACCGTGGCTGATCACTATACATCTCTGCATCTCTAGACAAACTCAATCGACATGTTCACTGCAACAGTCTTCCGACAAGGCACCATGACGAACGAAGAAGAGGGGGCGGCGCAGTGACGATCCTGCCTAGCTCAGCCCCGCCACCAGGCGATGAACAGACGACGACCCCTATAGGGATATTGGAGCCGCCGCCTACAGGGCGCCCCGGGCGTTTACAACGCGCGTACAGACGCCTTGCAAGGTCTTTTTCGGGGTTCCCTCGTTCAGCACGGCACGTCGGCCCCCAGGATCAGCCCCGCCATGAAGCCTCGCGGCGTCAGCCATCTGATCTGATCTGATCCCGACCATGGCTGCGTCCCAGTTGGCTGCGCTGACCTTTGTTCGTCTGTCGAGATAGATTTTCAGACGAGGATTGAGACAAACGCCCTTTCTCTGACGGCACAACCCTAGCGACGACCTCTTCCTCACACCCAGCGACGGCCTCTTCCTCAACACCATCGACGCCTCACCCGACACAACCTGCGATATCGCGAACCACAGGCAACGGCAGACAACCCCTTGCCCATCCCATCATGGGACTCCGCGACTTCCTTCGCAAGAAGGATGGTGAAGGCCACGACGACGAAAGCAATCACGACCACCATGACAGCCAGCCTGACGCCTCCCACACCTCTCCCCCGCCGACGGGCGCGCCCGAGTTCAAGTTTGTCCGCTCCGAATCCAAAGACGACATGCCCACGGCGACGGCGGCGTCCCAGCTGTCGCCGAGCCCGAACAGCAACAGCAACATAAACAACAATACCCTCCTCCAAGCCGCCGACCCTATCCCTCAGCGTAACCGCCTGAGCCTCGACGTCTTCTCGTCGTCCCGGTCCCGCAGCGGCTCCGTCTCGTCTCAGGCGAGCAACGGCCCCGAGAAGTCCCGCCGCCGCATCTCTGAGCGCCTCCACCTCAGCCGCGCCCCCTCGAGCTCCGAACACGTACCCCAAGATCTCCCCGCCATCGTCGCCTCCGACTCGGCCGAGGACCAGTGGGAGCGCCGTGCCACCATGCTCGCGAACATGACGGAGCGCGCGCGCAGCAACTCGCGCCCGCCGACGCCGCCCTCGTCAGGCCAGCACGCGGTCCCGCCGACAACGACGGCCCAGGGGACAGCCTCGTCCCCTTCCGGCCCGGCGGCCACGTCCCCCCTGGTCCGCAAGGGCCCCGTCTCGTCCAAGGACGTCGACGAGGGCATCCAGGAGGCCATCCGGCTGCACGAAGAGGGCCACCTCGCCAAGTCGACGGCCATGTTCGCCTGGCTCGCCGACCCCAAGGGCGCCAACAACCCGCTGAGCCAGGTGCTCTACGGCCTCGCCCTGCGCCACGGCTGGGGCTGCGAGCCCGACGTCGAGCGCGGCGTCACCTACCTCACGGCTGCCGCCAGCAACGCCGCGACCGTCGAGCAGCTCGCGCTCCAGGCCGGCCTGAAGAAGGGCGGCGCCTACAAGGGGGAGCTCGTGCTTGCCATTTTCGAGCTCGGCAACTCGTTCCGCCACGGCTGGGGGACGGCTAAGGATCCTGTGGCTGCGAAGCAGGTGTGTACTTTCTTGTGACGGAACCATGGACAGCCATGGACAGAGTCGTGGATGGGATCAATGTGCTGACATGGAATGCGGCAGTACTACGAGACGGCTGCGAATCTGGGAGATACCGGTGAGTTCTGCTGCCACCCCTTTTGCCCCTTTCCTCCTGGCCCGTTGAAGCCCATGCTTCCTCGTTGAAGCCCGACCAAGAACGACATGACCTGACAGCTCGCTTCGGTAGACGCCATGAACGAGGCGGCCTGGTGCTACCTCGAAGGCTTCGGCTGCAAGAAAGACAAGGTACGTCACACTGCGCGTCTCTATCCTTCACCCCATCGGAGCACCTGCTGCGCGCTCGTCATGTCATCTGCTGCGCCCGTCATCGTCAGGCCCGTCATCGTCAGGCCGTCAGGCCCAGACTCCAGCCTCTCTTGGTCGCTGGTCCAGAGGGATGTGGCTCAAAGCAGGGTCAGACGAGGTTGCAGCATCCGTCAAACGCCTCCTCTGCTCCCCCTCCCTTCCAACCCCAGACCTTGGCTGCAGATTGGCCCGGCACTCCCACGTTGGGCATCAATGGGACGGCCGCAGCAGAGGAGAACCCCCCCCC